GGCTGGTGCCTTCCCCCAAGGTGTACGCCCACCATGCTGTGTCCACCCTCGGGATTTCCAAAAGGACCACAGGATACTGGTCTCATTCCATCCAGGTAACGCTGTGCCCGCGACTTCGTAAAGAGGTTCACGGACCCTAAACCTTTTTACAAAGCCGAGCTCGAGACGTGAGCACAGTTCCCAAACCTGGCAGGAGGGCAGACAGCACAGTTGGACAAGCCACAGGGGTGGAGTGGTTTCCTACACACATAACAGTTGAGGGAATGCTTTACTGGTAGGCGTGTCATAGTGTGAGGGGAGGTTTGAAACGCTGTGCAATGTCCACAGTGTGACCCAGTGACACTGGGTGAGCACACACTGGGAACACACTGCCAGCAGACATGCCCTTCGGAGGCTGCCACTGACTCTGTGAAAACACAGTCTCTGCCAAGTGCCCTAAAGGTGAGTGCAGTGACACACGGTCCACCTGTCAGTCACACTTAACGAGGCCCATTGAAGCCCCGTGCAGAAGGCTGCGAATCACGTGTCCTGATGTTCAGTGATTTTTGTTAAGTCACTAAATTTTCTTTGGTGGAATCACTGAGAGCATGCAAATGTTTGGTCTGTCCCACACCTAAAAACGAGTGAAATACGCGGCTTTTGTGTAAGTACGTGCTTTCTCCCCCACTGTGGAATCTGTCCACTTTACAGCGGCCCTGTTGGGTTTTGGGGCTGTACATCTTAATAGAAGCCGAATGTGTCATCTTTCTCCCTCGGAGAGGCTGTCCTTGGCAGTCCCCTGTGTAGTGTACTGCACTCTCAGGGCTCCTTAAATGAGGGAAGTACAAGGGAGCTCAGGTAGCCTGGTAGCAGGAAGCTGCGCTGGGATCCCAAAGGTGTGGGGCTCGAATCCACCAGATGCTCTGCTGAAGAAGGATGGGTAATCTCCTTTCCCAGTCGGATCTGATTCAACGGCACACAAGAAGAGCAAATATTTTAAGGAAAGGAAAAAAAAATAGAAGGGAGAGGAAGTAAAAATTAAAAAAAGAGTAGAAAAAAAATTGGTGGAAGTATAAGAATACAAGGCATTTGTAGGAATTTTGAGGGCAAAAAGTGTCCTGTAATGCTTGAGGGGCACCTTCAAGTGAGCAGTGCTGTCTGGATAACGTGAAACCATAAATCACGTCTCTGCTTCATGTAATCATTGTTATCAGCTGACATCTCAGTGTATTCTTGAATTCTATTGTTCAGTGAGAAGCAAATCATTTTCCCTTTTACACTGTGTTGCAGTGTGGCAAAGATTTGAGTCTCTTAGTATTTTCAAGGGAAACACTTTTGATCTTTAATATTCTGACTCTTAGATATAGAGTTCCGTTTATTATGGTGTCTGTTTACATAAACATTATTAGATTAACAACCATAAAATAAATGGTTAAGTGAACTGATGGCATTTACTTGAGTCGGAGAATTTTGCTGAACGTTTGTTTGAGAAAGAAGTTTTATTTAAATGGCCTTTTCTCCGTCCTTAGTTTCTTGAGATCAGAGACACCATTCTCAGGGTTATAGCTTCAGAGACCCAGCAGAGGTATTTACTCAGAGAGGTAGCCTGAGAGGAAGAGTCAGGAGTGAGGAGAAAAAACGAGCGTTTTGCACATGCTGGCAAGTGACAAGGCTGAGGCGTGCCTGTGGGGTGGCGTGGGGCTCTGACCTACCAGAGGCCGTTTTGGGGTTATCTCTGAGCGAATGCAGTGTGTTGAGAGTTCGGTGAAGGATGAGCAGTAGACCGTGTGTGCATACACCTAGCTGAGGCGTATGGCTGCAGGAAAGAAGCAGGGTTCCATCTGTGAGCTGCTGGTGTGCAGCTGGGCCGAGCTGGGGGGAGAGGAGGAGCTGGTGGGGGAGAAGGTCCTCAGGGAGCCGACGCTGTTCCACTCACCCACGTGGCCGCGGAGACAGAAAGGACACGCTGGAGTCTAGATACCTGGCCTTCGCCGCTGAGCCAGACAACCAGACCCGTAGCCCCGAGTCAATTCCGAGTCTAGTGGCAGGTCAAGAAAGGGTGGGACACCCCATCGGGCTCCCGAGGCCATAAACTTTATGGAAACACATTGGAAAGCAGTGGCATTCTTCCTTGGAGTTGTTGATGGCCTCAAACTCCCAACCTTGAAGTCAGCAGTCATGTGATTTAACCATTGCACTATCAGGGCCCCTGTTCACCCTAAACATGTCCTGCAGAAGTGGGCCAGGAATATCACTGTGCCTGGAGTCCTGAGGCACAGTGGTTAAAAGCGCTTGACTGCTGATCATGAGGCTGGCGGTTCAAAGACACCAACCACTCCGTGGGAGAAAGAAAAGGCAGACTGCTCCTGTAGAGATGACAGACTTGGAACCTCCCCCGGGGCAGTTCTCCTCTGTCTTACGGGGTCACTGGGAGTTAGAATCGACTTGACAGTGATGGGTTTGGGGGATTTTTAACCACTTTGAAGGGGCACCTGTGTCCCTCAGAGTTGCCGTTCCTGCAGGCTCCTCCTGAGGGACCAGCGGCAGCCTCCCAGACCTCCCTGGACTCAGCACTGTGTCAAAGCTCCAAGGAGCTGTGTCTGGGGGTTCCCCCCACCCCCAAATCCTGGCTCATTTAGGGGCCCCCAGAGGGTTAAGCACTTGGGTGCTAATTGACAACTTGGCAGATCGAACCTTCCAGCTACAGCCCTGACAGCCGCAGCCTTAGAGGCCCCCGAGGCCCTGTGCTCTGAACTCATCAGAACTGGCCAGACGGCAGGTTATTGACAGCGTACTGAACAACGGTGCAGGTGTCGTCCATGTGCCAGTCTGCCCAACTCTCTGGAGCAGGCTGCTGGGCGGGGAGCCTCCCCGTGGAGCCCAGGAAGGGTCTCAGGTTAAACTAGTCACTGGGTACAGTTGCTGGGAAGCACGCTTGCCTCTGCTGGGCGGGATGACCTTGGGCCGTGTGTGACGGCTGCAATCGAAGACTGACCTTCGCGCGTCACTGTTGCTGGCTTGGGGTCTGACCTCTCACCCTTTCTCTCACTTCCAGTTTCTCTTCGCCCAGTACATGCCGGAGTGGCTCTGGGTTTGGGGAGCAAACATCCTCAACCGTTCCTTACGGAAGGAGGCCTTAGCCTGCACAGCCTGAGCCCAGAGGGAGGCCGGGAAGGCCCACCAGCCACGGGCGCCTGCAGGATTCGGACACTCGGACGGACACGATCGAGGCAGTGGATGGATTTCCTTTCATTACTGATTCGTTAGCAGACTGTTGGGTCATCATTGTGATGCAGTGTGGGAATGCTGTGGGGAGGTCCGCCAGAGCATGTGAACGTGAACGTGAACTTGAACGGCACAGAGCCGACAACTCCTGTCTCCCGGGAACCGACTGGACAAATCAATGCCACTGCTGCTTCTCCCTGAGCTATGACAGGCGATATGATCCACGGGCCGTGGAACTGGAAACGCACTTCAAATAATGACCCCTCGGCTCTGCGGATTGCACGGGGTTTTGTTTTGTTTTGTTTTTGTAAGGCAAACTGCCCTTTGCATTAGTTGAGTTGCAGTATTGGTTTTCAGGGGTTCTTAGAGAAAGACAATTTAAATGGGTTATTTTGTAACTAAGATTGCTGGTATTAGTGAATAAGTATGTGTGTGTTATAGGGCATAGCTTTAGCTGTTTGTGTACGAAAATGCACCTCTTTCTCTGAGACGTACTAAGATGTGGATACGTGTCTCTATGTGGCTTTATTTATGGGTGAATTACTTTAAACAAACAAAAATGACTTGTCAGGATGGCTTCATGTGGAACCTTGCAGGGTATTAACAAAATCTCAGTCACTCCTTTCCTTACTGAACAGTCCTGTACCGTCGGCTTGGCATGTGTAATACTGCCACCCACATTGTGGTTTTTCAGTTTTACTGTGGGGTGTGTTCATTCTCGTGGATCAGCACGGATCGCTTAGCCTGTGTCCCGTCTGAACACTGAAGTGAGGCCCTTCGGAGCCCGCTGTGTCTGGTTCTCCGCCCTCAACCTCCCCTCCAGTAACATCATTGGCAGAAACATCAAGTGTTCATGAAATAGCTGTTAACATTTGCACAGAGTATGTCTTTGATGCAGTATATCTGTTGAAATAATGTTAGAAGCCCATTCTTGGTTCTTGTAACGAATTGATGCATCGTAGTGAGCACATTTATTAGTGTGAAGGTAATTATAATTATGTGCAAATCCCTACATGTGGCTAGCATCGAAATCTACTCTGAATTACTGTTGTTCAGTTCTTATAAAGCCAAACATCTTAAGGACCATGGACCTCTTGCTTTCGAACCTCTAAGTTACTCTCTGAACGTGACCATGTGTGTGTATTTAAAATTTCAAGCCAGTATTGTGACGGTGAGGAAGAAGAAAGTGAATGGGTGCAGAGGTGGAGGTTACAGAGCTGCTTTCTCACGAGCTGCTGTTCCAGCCCCAGGAGGCCCAGCCAGATGTTTCGTTGTACACGCAGTTTTGTCAGTAGTGTTGGCAACAGTATTTCTCTACCTGTGACGGGGACTCTGAGGAGTCGTGGTTGACTCCCGAAGCTTTGTCCCGTTAGGTCACCTCTGGATAAGATGTGAAAAGTGACAGCCTGGAGGTTCTCTGGAATATTTGGATGGAGCTACCTTGTAAGCCTTTATTGTGTCGTCCTTGTTTCTTCCCTCTCGCCAACCAATTTACGGTCATTAAAGGTAGACATAATTTAACCTCAAGCATTCTTGGCCCCGACTCTGATTGACGTGCAATAAGCAGCTACAAGTTTATGGGAAAATATCATCAGATAGTCATGTTATGTTGTGCTGTAATATATTTACAAGTTATGTATTGGATCATTGTTCCGTGGTAAGTCTGCACCAGAGGGGTTCCTGAATTCTCTGAATAGCTGGACACAGCGAAGTGTGTGGATTGGAGCAGCTGTGGTCTGTGCATGTCCATCGTGTGAGTGAAGGATCAGCGGCCATCTTCCTTCTGTTCTGCGTTGTCCTAAAGGACTTTACTTCCGAGCTCACCGGAGAGTCCTAGGGTGTATCCAACAATATGGGAAAGAGAAGCCTTTGAAACTTAACCTGTGAATTGATAATTTGCAAATAAAAGCATTCACTTCTGCTTCCTTTGGAAGAGGTTTTGCTCCACATGTTTGTAAATGTAAATTGATTGCTTAGAATAAGAGCTACATCTTCCACCCACCCTGAGAAAGTTATAAAAAGTTGCCAGAAGTTAACCTTCTGAGTACCTGTAATAGCAATTTATTTACAGCTGATAGATCAAAAGAACATTCTCGTGTCCCCAGTATGTTCTGAAACTATTAACTATGGATCTCATCCTTGGATTTTATCATTGGATTGGCACGAAGGCAATAAAGCTAGCATGGCCTGACTACAGGAAGAGTGAGAGAAAAGGGGCAGACAGTAGGTCGAGACCCCCCTTGTCAGGAGCCTTTTACTCCTGAAATATCACTCATGACACTTGGGAAGTAGATGCTTAGGTGGTTTGCCTGCAGTCCTGGCGCAGTGTGAGTCATCCAACACCAATTCCAGCGTCTCTGGGGCTCAATATTGCCCTGGCTGGTTTGCTTTCAAAGAACATTTCGGTTTCTTTTGTTTGTCTTTTATGGCTAATTATGCTTTATTTAAAATGTGTGCTTTGGGGAAAGCAGGCTAAGGCTCAGCTGGCCGAACATTTCATTTTGGGGATCTGCACCTTCCCACGGACCACTCGAGGCTTTACACTCCTGAAACTGCTATCTCGCAAGTTCTCTTTGACCCTGGAGCAGGCGAGGAAGCGACAGAGCAGCCTCCCACAGCACGCTCAGGCCCGCTTGGTAGACAGCCGGGATGCCACGGCAGCACCTCTGACTTAAGAGTTTTGTTGGAAGCTGTCGGCAGCTCCATCCACCTGGCTTGGGGACTTCACTCCCAGGGGACAGCTGTTCTGCTCTAACCTAGTTCCTTCCTGCAGGCCTATGTAATTGGTGGGATCCGAACAAAAACCACTGCCGCTGAGTTGCTCCCCACTCGTTGAGACCCTGTAGGAGGAATTCCAAGGCGGTAAATCTCTGCAGATGTAGACTGCCACCTCTTCTCCCCCACAGAGCAGCTGCTGAATTCAAGCCATTCATCTTTTTTGTAGCATCTGAGCACTTAACCATTGGGACACCAGGGATCCTTGGTATAATGACTACGGCTGTTCAAAGGGATCTGACCAAAATGAATGGACCCCAAGTTAGAACAACATTGCTTAAGATAAAAAACTTTACATGGGTGGCATCAGGAAGGGCTTGGCTGTGAGCATTAACCTGAGGCAGAACTCTGGATGTTCATAAAACAATTTATTACCTCAGCTCACTGTTTTTAAGAAAGGCGTAATCAGAAGTAACCTCCAAAATCCACACCCAGTCGATAACGTAGTGAACCCACCTGTAGGACTACAGAACAGAAGGGCCCCATAAAGGCAGTAATTTTTTTTAAGACTAGTTCCTTATCTTTTTTTTAATCTTTATTTATTTATTGTGTGTGTGTGTGTGTGTGTACTGTCAAACCGGATCAGACTGGCACAGGAGGCGACCGTTCCCCCCTTCAGCAGAGCATCTGGTGGATCCGAACTGCACACCTCTGGAACTGCAGCGCAGCCTCCCGCCACCAGGCCACCAGAGCTCGCCAAAGGCAGTAATTTTTGTGGAAGGAAGCAGGCAGATCCTTCCTGCAGAGCAGCTGGTGGATTTGAACTTCTGACCTGATGAGCAGTGGAATGCCTTTGCCACAGTGCCACCAGGGTGCCTAAAAAAGAATCAGATAGGGATCGGCCTAAATACTGAACCCAACAGCCCACCCTCGGCCTTGTACATGAGCCAGACACTTGGGAAAGTGTATTGCTTCCCCTCACGGCACTCTGGTACCAGTTTCTCTGTTTGGGGTGAGGGTGCGAAGGTAGACAGGGCAGACCAAGTACCTAAGCGATGGGATAGGGAGCAGGTGGTGAAGGGGGTAAAATGTTCAGTGACTAACCGAGAACTTGGTGGTTGCCCTTGAACTATAAGCCCTGGGATACCCTTCAAGCCTGGAATTCAATTTACTTCTGTTGCTCAACTTTAAGCTAAAAAATAAAACAGGCCTATAAAGTGGACAATAACACCAGAGAAGAATGCACTCTTCAAAACAAAAGGAGGACCAGGGAGAAAGCTAGAAGGCAGGAACTACTAGTGCTGGACGATGGAGAGGTGGGCATGAGTGGCTTTCCAGTCCGGGCTGTGGGAGTGGCCTTTAAGCGGGATGGGAAGATCATGAGCCTGGCTTTGGATGCAGACATCCCCATGCAGCATTCAGCTCGACGACCATCCAGCACGTTTATGGTCAGTGCGAGCACACTTAGCGGCGATGGGCACCGTTTCACCAGGGTCATGTTCTGGAAATCTTGCATCTCAAAAAACAAACCAAAACGCACACCAAAACACCCCCCCCCCCACACACACCCTGAAACGGGATTCGAACCTGTATCCCCAGGAACTCCATTCCAAGGCAACTGCTCACACCAACACACACACACACACACCCT